TTTTACCCGATTTGAACATGATAATTAGCATAACGAGTTTAATTAAAAATTACCATTAAATCAGCTACAAGAAGAGTGCAGTTAACGGTTGACAATAACAAAATAAGGTTCAGTAGTCTCCAAATGTCTGTACCTTTATTTTGTAGTCTAGAGAAGACAGTGTTATTCACAGGTTCTTTACAACTTGCAGTTAACAAGAAAAAGGATAGTTTGATTCGTGATAGACCTTGGAGATAAGTCAAGAGAGTAGTTGGGTTTGAAACAGAGAATGATTGCTTAAAGGAGCTACGTCATGGTTTGCTCATCTTGAAAAGTTTAGTCTAAGTTTTTAGTTAGTAATCCGTGTCAATCTTCTCCATCGTTAATCATCCTTGTTCCTTTATGGTTTATTATTATCTCTTTGGTGTTTTCCTATCTTAGTAAACTACTATTTTCAGGTTCCCTCGATTTAGAAGTCTTTTTGTACGTGGCCAAAATTAACTCATTTTGCTGTGACTGAACTCCTTTAAATTCTGATAGCACTTCTCATACACAACCGCACTAGTTATCATCCAAATCTCACTGTTCGAAATGCAGGAAAATTTGATTATCAAAACCCGTCATGTTCTATTGGTGTCTCAAGAAATTAGCAATTAACGAACGATTCTGCCTTCAACAACGACAACCCACTGATAAATTATGACATTTTACACAAACTCGTCCATTAATTGGTTCATGGAGCAGGTATTGTGAGCCCTAACTAAATGATAGATAGCGTTTTTTCACAACAACGGCAGAAATTCTCGCGCGCTCTCTGGCTAATTTTCATACTCAATAAGCAGACAGACACATGAATATACAATTTCTGCCTTCTTGTAATCCTAAAAACACAAATTGATGTCAATTTGTTAATTCCAAAGGCATTCTAAAAAAGCAAGCTCCACATTTTAACATATCTGTTTCCATCTGACACCGGCCAACGATCGTTGTTATACAGTGTTCCTCATTTTGCTACCTTGCATGTTTGAGTCCCATTTCGAGCATGCTTTTGCAAATCTCTTTTCTTGCTTTTAAAAGAATATGAGGCTTTTATAGGTAACTGAGGTTCAGTTTCGCTCAAGAGAGAGTTTTCACTCCCGTGGCAGACAGCCAGGCAAATTTATTGGACAAAAGAAATTGTTTGTACAAAAGAAAAGAGTTCAAATCGTACAGGATTGGTTTGGTACACCAACATGGCTGCTGTTTTATTGTTTTGGGACACCAATATGGCAGTCGTGACATCATGCGGAAACAGCCTCTCCGCATTCAAAAACATCTTCAGCTTTCTCTCAGCTACCTTTGACCCCTACATGAGCAGATCTGAATCGGGCTGTCAGAATCCACACTGAAACGGATGTTAACCTCACGTAAGAGCCAGGACCCGAACACCATCTGAAGAAGGCACGCTTGGACATGATCAATTCCAGAGCACAACCATAGCTTAGTCGTATTTATACTAGGATTGCCATCATGAAACCATAAGATGAAGCTTACATCAATCCTGTGTAATTTTAACTTTGAAATTTGTCGCCAATTTGGGTAATAAACCGTGCGCAGTGCATGATGGGCATGGTTAACACGAACAGCTAACGTTTCTGGCCATCACTTCCGGTTAATCCTAACAGAGCATAAATTGACAAATTTTAATTAAAGTACGTTCTCAGTGGAAGTTTTTGAATGGTTACACATGTCTTGGTCAGTTGACGTCGTCTTCAATCATTCCATGAAAAGGTAAGCGCGCTTATTTTTCATAAAAACGACGAAGAAGTTGACAACGTTTACTTATTTATTGGCCCAATACACCAATCAAAGTTTGGTTCCGTCGACAGCATTAGTTGATCATCTGTTTGATATAGATATTGAAACGTTTTCAAGTGACGTTCTTGAAACAATGTCGACTGCTTTTCGAAAAAGATTTTGCTATGGGTTGACCAAAATTTGATTAACTTTTCCAAATAACAATTTCTCTATTTCTGACTCAGTACTTTCTTCATTTCCTCGCGGACATTATCACCCACGGTGACGTGAAGTTTACGGAAGGACGAGAAAAAGCCTGCTTTTTTTATTTTGGAGTCTCACTCAATTTGTTGACTCGACAATTCATCAAAACAAACATATTTTATTACAGACCGCCGAAATTCTGATTATGTTGAATGATAGTCTTCCAAGTTTCGATAGTGTGGTTTCGGTTCAAGTTTAGCACTTGTAATAAAGTTATTTTGCTAACATGAAATACTATACCAAAGATCGATTTAAAATAATGCCTGAAAACATGTAACAATTCGCCTTAAGCTTAACTCCATACTTATATATACTTCTTTTTATAGAGGTGATCCGATTTAGTACACAAACACTACCTGGTCATGATAGAGTAAATTATATTCTTCCCTTTGTAGTAGTTTTAAATAGCATTTATATATAATCATCATTCCCAAAAATTGAAAACAATGCGAAAATGTGACGACCTTTACAAAGAACGCGATCCGCCTTCACAAAGCTGTACACACCGGTTCAGCTTACAGAAGTTTTGTTGTTTTAGAATAGATTGAGCCTGAGCGTAGAATACGTGAGTGGAAACATGAGATCTTTTCCTAGCAGAACTTTAACAGTACTCCTACATGATACACGTATTCATAATTCATAAACGGTTTTTCATTCAAACTCATGTAATCGTGATATCCCAAGTGTTCCACGTTGAATAGAATACGTCAAATGACCCGGCTTGGCCCGTTATGTTCCACCCACGCACCTCACGTTCCATTCTTTTCCCTATTCATGATTTTAATCAATTGTGCAGTGTTGCTAAAAATAAAAATAAATGTCAAGATTGCTATCTCGCCATATCTCGCTGGATTTACGGTTCAACGAGACTTCGTCACTATGCTTTTCTTCACATTTTCGTATTTGGTTTTGTGGTTTCATTTTCGACAGTTGCATTAAAGGACCACAATGTTGTGCCAGCGTTTACATAACATACCGACCCTCGGTTCACTGAGCTGCTCCGAAGCGCGGGTTCCTTTCGTAAATTGGGGGTCGGAAACAACAGTATACCGTCCTACATGTCGTGTTGAAAAATGTTCGCACGCAATTTTCGTCATAAATTTCAGAAATTTGTTTGTAGTAAGAAGTTGCCTTACCCCCAAAAAATGGTCCCTGAAGCAACTTCCGTAACACGTTGAAATCATAAAACAGCTAAAGCAGTAGGTCATAAATCATTTTGCATTTGGCAAAATTCCCAAAAACAAACGACTGTACATAAAGGTAATGCTCAAAAGATTGTATTTGAATTAAGTAAAGGTTTCATGGACGCGACGTTAAACGTACAGCGGCAAAGTAAAACAGTTGCACATGAACGCAATGCTTGAGCGCTTTCTTTTGATCGTGAATAGTCAAACACTAGGTTTTCATCCACAAAAAGAACCACTTCGCACAGGATAATAAACAGCACAACATGATGGTACTGCTCAATAGCTTTCATTTGAATGGTCACACACTAGGGTTTCCTCCACGAACGTTAAAGCTAGAACCACTTTGTACACCGCGTAATTAACAGTAGCGCATAAAAGTAACACACTTAACAGGCCGTACCCTTAGTGCAACGAAATAAACCGCAGCAGCACGTTTCGTTTTCAGGATGGTCGCATAGACTTGAAGAGAATACCACATACAGAATATAATGACTTGTTCTAAGCTGCATGAACATGAAATAATTTTCCATATGAATCAATTCTGACACACTTGGGTTTCATTCACTGTGAACTAAAGAGTTACAACTACCGTCTTGTATAGTATGATAAACACTCTATGCCTCGTGAAAATACTGCTGGAGGGCTTTCATCTGAATGGTCATAAACTAAAGATAAATCACCAGCCTTTAGCTTGGTTTGCTTCTTAGTGGGAATGAAAACTATTCAGAGAAAAGGAATTTAAATTTTATTGCTCTTCCCAAAGATTCGAGACTTTGAATTGGCGGAGATCCAGCTTGTGAAGTGGCGTTTCTATATGTCTGTGCAAATAATGAAGGTGGTTTACCACAGAACAACAGAATATCAATCCGTGTGGGTTACTTTTGAAACAAACATCAACGGGCTCCTTTGTTGTTGTTTTGTTATTGGCTTTGCAATGAGTCGTAGCGAGCGACGAAATCACTACCTCAGGTCACACCTATAAACATCTTTCCATTCAAAAACAGTTCCATGAAGGTGTACCAAGTACGTACACCAATTTCTTTCATTTCAAGATTTACATTTTGTAGTGTAATACAAACACTGCCACAAAAATACACTCAGTCGTCAATGGTTTTAACAATACTATGCGCGGTCATGCTGAAGAGGTTCATTCATGCAATGGTTCAGAAAGGGAGTGCCACCTTGTACGGACTGTGCGCCAGCCCTAAAAGAAGATACTGTATTCTAGCGCTCATTTGGTTTGAGAACGATTCTTTACTTAATTATTATTCACAGGGTCAAACTGTCGGCCTACTACTTAAAGGTACTACTTAAAAACTATCGTTTGAATGGTCACATGCTATGGCATTATCCGCAAACTTAAAAGTTAGAAAAACCTAGTGCACTATGATAAACAGCACAGTGCAAAAGTAATGCGCAATATCTTTCATTTAAATGGTAAAACACTAGGATTTCATTCACTGGCTTAAATGTTACAACCACCTGGTACAGCATAACAAACAGTACCACATGAAAATACTGCTCAGTAGCTTTCATTTGAATGGTCACACACTAGGGTTTCATCCACAGACTTTAATGTTAGAACCACCTTGTACAGCACAATGATAAACAGTACCACATGAGAGTACCGCTCAGTAGCTTGCATTTCTATGGTTACCAACTAGGGTTTCATGCATCCAAGATCAACCCGCGGTAAGAATATTGTTTCGCAGTAGGGTTATAGTAGAACTTCATCCCCGTGATGTAAGCATTAAAGCCGCCCTTTGTAGCACAGCGAACAGTAACACGTAAAAGTAACTGCTCAGTAGCTTTTATTTGAAAATTTCACAGGTAGATTTTACATCTTCCGACATCAAAATTGGCATCTTGTGCAGACATGCAGGTCACAGTTCATGCTTTTATACGTTCATGGTTATATAAGTCTCAACGTCCTAGTAAGCAATTTAAGCTGAAGTGAATATATAGTCTAATTTGAGATACCCGAGAGCAGTTTAGTTCTCCGTTTATTTCAAAGTAGAACGACGACGGGTTCGCAGACCTACAGATGTGTAATTTGTTGCCCAACGCGACTAGCGACTCGGACTCTTTTCTGTGGAGCGCAATCTTGTTTAACACTAGCTGGCGAGGCTTCCGCGGGAAATGTTATATAATGCATGTTTCGTTGACCATGCAATGGAATGCAACTAACCGATACATTCACCATCGCCATATTTTAGCGCCTTTAGCATAGTCTCTCTGAATCAAGGTAATGTTGAGTCAGTACTGAAAAACTTGCGCTAAAATCACTGGGTATCAAAGTTTCCGTGCCTTAATGCATAAATGTCACGCCTACTACTCACCAAAATCTCCCGCCTGTGGTCTCGAGTTTAAGGAATATAAATTTCTGGGAAATTATCTTCTGAAGGAAATGTTTGATATTGGTTTTCCATGCACGCGTGTGGAATCCCTGACCTCACGTACACTATTTGAACACGCACATGTACACAATAATTGCGCGTGATCTTTTCCATTGAAGCGCATCTTTTCAAAGTAGATGATTTTTAACAAACAGATTTATGATTTTCGTGGCTTGTAGTTTCTATCATGTTGTTTCCCTTATAGAACGAAACTGTGATCAATTAAGCCGAAGATAACTTGATTTCCTTGCTGGCTTATGTTTAGCATTGCCGCAGGCTAGTTTCTTCATTGACCACTAGTGACCGAGCCAAGCGTGAAATAATCTCTGCAATATTAAGATGTTTTGGTTTGCAGATTATGAATGGTGTCTGCCCAGGGTCTTAATCATATTGTTGGTTCAGAGACAATTTGAACTTTGCTGCAGTTATATTTTAGGCATCTAAATGACAAAATGTAGTTTTGTGGGCGTAAGTTGATTATCCCACAGTAAGTTGTATAATTAAAATTTGCAAGCTAACATCTAAGGTCGAAAACTTGAAATAAAAACTTAAGCTCAGGTCAGACGAGACATAATAAAAGATAATGACCTAGGACTTGACTGAGAACATTTTGAAGACTGTTTGGCAATCCACACAAACAATAGGATACTGAACACGATGCGAAAGTAAATTTTCTTCCTGTTCTTTGAGTGTCCCAGCTGAAAAGGAAGTGCTTACACTGTTACAAGCAACCTTGACTTAAACAAAGAGAAAAGCCTTGACAAATTACAAAACGTTGTAAATAAAAGCTGTAAACTGGTTCACGGGCGATCACAGGCGTAACATTTTGGGTACAATTTGAATGCAAGCCCTTCGTAAACTCGAAGTAATTGAGTTTTCCTAAATATAATGTTAATTGTCATACATGTACGTTTTCTTGCCCATGTTTTGGTGCTGCAAGACATTCTGTCTTCGTTGCTAGACGTTCAATGACCTCAATATCATATTAGTAAATTCTAAAAGTAAACAATTGAAGGTGCTAAGGTAGCAATACATCAAAGCCACTACAAGGGACGCGAGCGTAAAACATTTCCTTTGGAGAGCAGTATTCTTCAACATTTTTGGCTAACAGTAAAACCTAAAAAACCGGCATGTACATATTATTTTTAAATGTTGATGATATTTGGATCGTCCATAACGTAAGATATCACTTAACCATGCGATTACGTAACTGCGAAATGTTAAAGAAAAATTTAGTCCAGTCTAACACATATGCCGGCAGCAGTCGAACCTCACAATGCGGACAGTTTTACATTACGGCCAGACAGCTCAATTGGTTCCAGACTAATAAGCCAAAATTCTTGCAACCTCTACCTCAACAACAGTTAGGTCTGGATGAGAAATAAGGCGCTTTTAACGGCCAGCTGAGATTGTGAGATATGAAAAATTTACTGGTAGTTGAGAAGTAAACTGGAATTTTTGACTGATTGCTGTGACTTAGGCATGCACTTCCATGCCGACCCTCTAAGACAGTCACCTCCATTAAACGGAGAGTCAATTCAGGGCATCTTTAGTGTCCGTATTACAAAGAGGTTTGCAAGTACTACTGTTATCTGTGCATAATCTAAAAAGCTTTTCTGCACTTGTGTAAGATTAATTCTTAATCATGTGCATTTCCTGATCGCTTAAGACCACCTTGCAATGGAATTGAAATACTTATTTTTCTAAAAATAGGAACATTCCATGATATTTACGGGTTTCTCAAAAAACGCCAACAGACGGATATTTGAATTAGTAAAATCCTCGAGATAATATAAAACGAAAACAACAAGATAAAGAAACTAACAGTTAAATAAACAAATCTGGAAATATTCGGATTTAGTAACTAATCCATGTTCATAACTCAAGTTGATCATTCAAGAGATCTTGCTCTTAGCCACAGAAATGTTCCTAAAAAGGCTCGGAGGAAAAAATTTGCAATTTTTGCAGACACTCTGGATTGCTAATGACTTCTTGCGTAATCTTATATAGTTGCCATGGACATCGGTAAATGAGCAAATTTTTTTTTTGTCCGGTAATATATATGGTTCTATAAAAGATATACTGAACTATGACGGAAATTTCTACTACAAAAAAAAACCTAGGGAAATCTGTAATTTCTACAGAATCTGA